GAGGGCGACCTGGGTCGGGGAATCGCACATCCTGTCGCTCGTGATGATGAAGCGCGACTCGGTGTCGTGTGGTCGGAAAAATGCGCACGGCGGATGCAGGATCGTGTTCTGTGCGTCACTTCGCGTCAACTATAATCTGACCTTAACGCCAGAAATACTCCGTTTTCAGACGAGTGGCGCACCACACAATCCGCATGCCGCGCGCGCGGAGACAGCGGTGAGTTCACCGTTTGTTGCGCGTGTGCGGCTCGCGGGACGGTGCAACAACTTTTACGAGTTCTTTCAAGTTTGAAAGCGCTGGAGTAATCTGTCAAGTTACCGTGCTCCCGATCTGTGGAGCTACGTAGCTCTGGGTCCCGATGGGGGCGTCCGCGCGCTGCAAACTACTCTTTCGTCCGTGTTAAATGAGATCCGTGTTAAATGAGAACGCCTCAGAAGCGCGCGCAGACTGACTTTCATTTTGAAAGTACACCTAAACTAAAGATGATATTGAAAGCGTAGGATCAGATCGACTTTTATGTGGCGCAAAATATTCTACGGCTCTCGAATATTTGGAGGGTTTCAATCGATCCCAGTACGCTATGTAAATCAAGGTGATGGGGCTGAACATATTGGACAGCTCGCAAATATTTTGGGAGTTTCTAAACGGACGGTTACGTTGAGCTGGTTGACGACTGCTCCATGCACGTATATTTGAACCGTCTGGTCAGGATGAGCATCGCTGCTTGAACTTGTTTCAGCATAGATGATACGACGAGAGTGAATAACAGGTTGGGATGCATCTAAATCTCCCCTACTCGTCCTCTTCCTCCTACTGTTCACCCTCCTTCCTCGCTGCAGTCCGAGTCCAACGATCATGCCATCTGATCACCCGAAGTTCACGAGCGTGGCCTCGTCGTCGTCTTTGTCTTGCGGGGTGGTGGCGTGTGGCGTCGTTGAAATAGGGGGTCGGCGGCCACCGCGCTGCCACGTCGAGATGGGGCGAGTGGATTTCGGCTTTGGAGGGGATGGTGTTGTGGGCTTAGAGTTCGACGTGGAAGGCTGAGACCGGGCAGCCAGCTGCGCCCGGGAGACGGGGCGAGTGGCCTTCGCCTTGCCACTGGGAAACTGGAAAGGTAATTTGTTGAACTGTTGTGTACCTCCCAGATATGAGATGCTGGAAGGGGGTGGCGTCTTGGGAACGGGAAGGTGAGCCCGAGCAGCTTGAGCAGCCTGCTGCGCCTGGGAGACCGGGCGCATGGATTGCGACTTGGTAGACGTGAGGAAAGTCAAGCCGTTGGCCCGCTGTGCACCTCCCCTAATTGAGCTGCTTGCCAGGGGTCGATTCTCGGGGACAACAGCGGGAAGCTGAGCCCGAGCAGCTCGAGCAGCAAGCAGCGCGTGGGTGACGGGGCGAGTGACCCTTGGCTCTGAATCCCTAGGCCGCGAGGAAGTGGCGCTGACGAAATCTGGATACGGCATATATGAGCTGCTGAGGATAGTGCTGTTTCTTCGTTCGAGGTCAGTGCCTGAGAATGAATCGTGGAAGCTTGGCGCTTTTATAGCTCCGAGGGCTACGCCAGTAACGCCACAGGTGGTCCTCCAAATCATTGATCGGGATCATTTGACTATCGATCGATCATCGCGGTCCTCTGCAACATAATTTTGATGACACTTTGATGGACTTCATTTTTTAACTATGGAGCTTCGGGTTGTGCGAGAAGTACTTCTAGTATGTGAATACGAGTAATCCAAAGTGACTTAATTTTTGAAGCGCAATTGAGGTCGCGGAGAAGTCCCCGAGGCGAGATGGGCTTTTGCAAGATCTTTTACATCCGAATTTGGCGGGCCATCAAAATCTGACTGTTGATTTTTCACAGAGCTCAAAACTCGGCCATGAATAATATAAAAGGAGGAGTGCATATCTGCATCGTCTTGGGTGCCTGCACCTTTTTCTCAAGGCCATTGAGCTAGAAATGAGACCGGAAAAGTGAAATCTTACATAAGACCATCTGATTGCACAAGACCGCGATCGATAGCGTGTAAAATTGAATGGTGGCGGCACTGCGGCACTGCATTGTGGAAGTCGCACGTGGCAGTGATAAACTGCTCATCGGATGAGCGTACTCCTGCAGCGAGGGCTAGCTAGAAGACTTAACCTTAGGCACTGCGTTTAAGACCAACCCAAACCAAGTTAGTGCAGGTGTGTCTAGATAGCCTCCGCTCACCTGTGTAGAGGGTGCACCGATTGGACCTTTTTCTGGCTCTGTCGAGCCCTGCCAGCTGAATTCGGCAGACCTTGTTGCTGGGCAGCCCACCCCTCGGCCGAGATGCCCGAAGGCGACCTCCGATGGCTCTGCCGAGGTTGGAAAATATACACTCGACAAACCTTCGCTAACCCCGCCCAGTTTAGAACGATAAGCCTGGGCACAGGGTATCCTAGTGTACCTCCACAGACCTTGGCGGCCCCCGGCTAGATTTGTCTTAAATGCAGCGCTAGTGTTCGAGTGGTGGGGCTTGCCTTATTAACGTGCAGGGTGAGATTCCATCAAAATTTATGAGCATCATATTGAACTATGCAGCCGTATGAGAAGCTGCGAATTAGATTCACGCTGTTCACGTATAAACTAAAGTTGAACCAACTTGAAGGCAACCATGGGAGTGTTGGCACGTGGGCAGCGATCGGATCACTTCGGCAACCTTCGCTAGTTGTGATCAGTTGAATCGTAGTCAGAGCACCGTAGCTGGAGCCTGAGGAAAGTATGTATACTGGGCAGCACTCGAGCGTGGGTTAGTTCTTGCTTCTCCGCATTGTATGAGAACCCTGCGTGCAGGAGACACCACACTTACTGCTTCATGTGTGCACCGGAATTGAGTCGAACATCATGTTTGACTCAATTCTGAACGTGGAACTCAGGGTTAATTTCTGCATTTGAACAAAGAGAACCCCGCGGCAATGTTACTGAGTTGGGGAATGAAAAAAGTGATACCTAATCGCAGATCTAGAAGAGCAGCACCGTGATTCGAACGAGAACCTTAGGTTAAACTACTTGAAAACCAATGAAGAGAGCCCCGGGTGCACGGTACACCATTCTGCTGTCCTTCCTCTGTTTCTGATGGGATGGAGTGCTAGGAGAATCTGTGAGCCGAGAGACAAAATTTTGTGGGATGGTGTCAAAGAGCAGCATCTCGAATCAAACAAGGACCTCGGGGAAATGTACTGGGACATAGTTTAATGGAACCCCGTGTGCACAATACACGATACTCCTTTCATTTGTCTGTTTTTGGGCTGGTGGTGTGCTATAAAATTGGTGAGCCAAGGGATAAGAGGATCCTCCAGAGCAGCACCTCGATTCGAACGAGGACCTCAGGATCAATTCATCTTTGACAGATTCTGCACGAGAACCCTGTATGCACAATATGCCATACTGCTTTACTCACACTCTCTCCCCCTTGATTTAGTGCTAGAAAGATTGGTGGGCCCAGAAATAAAAACCACCTTGGAACCTTAGGATAATTTGTTGATTCGTCACAGCCAAAGGAATCCCATACGGACAATACACCATACTGCTTTTTCGCGGTTGGCGGTGTGCTAGCGAAAGTGGTGGCCTAGGAATGAAGGCATTTGAAGATCTGTACAGGGTGAATCAATTCGTCCTGGCAAATGAGAAACATGGAACCATGTGTGAATGATACACCCTACAGCTTGGAGTATCCTGTTTCAGCCCCGCTGGTGAACTAGACAATTCTCAAGAGGAGAAAAATAACTTCCTCCGGCAACAGAGCGGCACCTCGAATCCAAACGAGGCCCTCAGGGTGATTATCGCGTACATCCATTGTACGAACAACCCAGTGTGCACAATACACGATACTGCTTTCTTTACCCTGTTTTGAGGTCGATGGGGTACTAGAGAATTGTTAAGCCAAGGAATGAAGATACGCGACAAACATTGAAGAGCAGCACCTCGATTCGAACGAGGTCCTCGGGGTGAATTCATTCTCCACGCCAACATGAGAATCCCGTGTGCATAATACACCATACTGCTTTCCTTTCTCTTGGTGGGGTGCTAGGAAATTGCTGAGCTGGGAATAGACGGATACTGCTTTTCGCCCGCTCCTTCCAGGGGACTGGGGTGCTAGTAAAATTGCTGAGGTGAGCAAAGAAATAACCGGAACATAGATCCAGAGCAACACCTCGAATCGAACGAGGCCCTCAGAGATAATCATTTCGTACCAGTTGAAGGCAATCCCGTGTGCAAAATGCACAATACTGTAATTGCTCTGTTTCGAGGATGGTGGGGTGCTAGCGAGATTGCTGGGTCCTGGTCAAAATGATATCAGCCAACCAGCAGAGCACTACCTCGACTCGAACGAGGACCTCGGGGGTTACTCTTCTCGGACCTTTCCCAAGAGAGCTCCGTGTGCAAGATACACCATACTGCATTCATTCCCCGGTTTTGAACTTGGTTGAGTGTTAGCAGAATCTGGTGAGACGACGAATGAAACAAAGTGGAGATGGAAGAGCAGTACCTCGATTCGAACGGGGACCTCCGGGTGTACTACTATCTCATCCTAAGAGAGCCCCGTGTGCATGCTACACCATACTGCTTCCTGTATCTCTTTCGGAGTGGGTAAGGTGCTCGAAAATTGGCGAGCAAAGAAATACAAATATGTATGTACTCAACGCAACCACAGAGTAACACCTCGGATTGAAGGAGGAGGACCTCGGGCTTGGCGTGCTAACATAACTCGTGCAAAGAAATAAAACGACCGGCCGACCCAAAGCAGAGCAGTACCTCGATTCGAACGAGGACCTCAGGGTGTACTACTATCTCATGCGAAGAGAGCCCCATGTGCACACTACATCATACTGCTTCCTGTATCTTATTTTGGAGTGGGTGAGGTGCTAGAAATTTGGCGAGCAAAGAAAAAAAGATTGGTTGACCCAAAGCAGAGCAGTACCTCGATTCGAACGAGAACCCCTGGGCTGACAAATAAAAATGAATGACCAGCGAGACCTAGAGCAGCACCTCGAATCGAACGAGGACCTCAGAGAAATTCCTGAGTCACAACACCTATGGCACCCCCGCGTGCACCATACACCATGCTGCCATTGTTAGCCTCTGTTCAACCGTGATATAGATAGAGTGCTAGAAAATCTTACCTATGGCGACAGAATTATTCTGAACTCATCAGTAAATGCGGGATCGGCGGGGGTCGGCATCACACGGCGCATAGCCTCACAGCGTGGACGGAACGGGTCGAATGGAGACTAAAGTGGGCGTCTGCAGCTCGAGGGTCTGGAAGTAACGAGCTTATGATGTTTTCGAGGACCGGGATGCATCATCGAGTTGGAGTTTGACTAATGGAATCGAGGCAAGGCGAGACCGAGTGAGCCAAGGCGGCGACGGATAAATGCGGAATATCTGTGCGCGAGTGGAGCGAGTTCGCTAAGAGCACAGAGGCGGATGATGGATCCCGAGGTGGCTGTCGGCAGATGCCGGCTCGCGGAAATCGCATAATCTTTTGTTGCCCTCGACGACGTTGACGACAACGATGAGCTCGCCGCTGCCGACGAGCTCCATCCAATATCTAAGCAGGGCTTCTGTTACCTAGAGACCACTACTAAGTTCTGACTCGACCGTGTCCACAAGCCCCTCCACACGCGCTCGTCGACCCCGGTCACCCCGTCCCCGTCCGCGAACACCACGAGCTCGACGCCGCCGTTCAGCCTCTCGCTGACGTGCACCGACACGGTCGCCTCGCCGCCCGCGCTCCCTACCGGTGGACCCCTCCCGACCCCAACGAGAATAACTGCCCTCGTGCGTCCCTTCGTACTCTTCCCCGCTAGTCGATAAGTGGCCAAACATCTCGCAGTCTACACCTTGCTCGCGACTTTGATCCTGCTGCTCGGCGTCTCTTCCAGTCTCTTCCGTGATGTGATCATCATGCGCTCGCTGTTGCAGTGCTGCTAAGAAGGCGCCACCGCCGCGTGGTCGAGGAGGCGATTGCGAACGGGACGTGGGTGTCCCCGGCCCCGCGTGTGAAGGTGGATCTAAGGAGGTTGTAGGGTTGTAGGACGCGTGCCTCACGCCTCAAATGCACGTGCCGATGGGTGGTGGGCGGTGTGGGAGGAGGAGGACGGGTCAGGGAGAAGGACGGGTGGGAGGCGATTATGGTACGTTTGCTTTCCTTTCGTTTGACTCGATACATACACTCCGTCCCACATATGAGCTGAATACCTACGGGCTCGAGGGTCGAGGACCCGCAGGTCTTCGTGACGGCGTCCCTCAGCGCGACCCGATCGAGGCTGCGCTGATTTTTCAGCAAGATGCTTCCGGGATCGAGGCGATTTTTCAGCAAGATCGTGTTTTGCTGTACACCGTACGTTCCTGGCGCTACTTCGTACTAAGTATAATCTGACCTCGCCGCCAGAAATACTCTGTGTTTTCGGATAGATGGCGTGCGGCAGCGCTCCGCATGCCGCATACTCGGAGACAGCGGCGCATTCGCTGCTTGTTGCGTGTGTGCGGCTCGCGGATGGTCGGAGCAGCGGTGTAAACGACTTCGCTCAAGTTTTAAGGCGCTAAGAGAAGCCGGGGAAGTTATCCACGGGCAGCTACGTAGCTCTAGGTCTCGTTGGGGGCGTCTACGTGCGCCTCAAACTACTCTCTCGTCCGTATTCATAAGGAAGGGCGCGGAGATGCAACTTTCACTTTGACAGTAAAATAAAGACGATATTAATATTGGCGCAGGGTCAGATCGACTTTTATGTGGCGCAAAATATTCTACGGCTGTCGAATATTTGGAGGGGTTTCAATCGAACCAAGTACGCTAAATGAAGGTGAGGGGCGCAACATATTGGACAGCTCGCAAATATTTTGGGAGTTTCTAAACGGACAGGTACGTTGTGCTGGTTGATCACTCCATGCACGTATATTTGAACAGTCTGGTCCGGAGGGGCATTGCTGCTTGAACTTGTTTCAGCATAGATGATACGACGAGAGAATGACATGTCGCAAAAATCCCTTTTAAGTTATATGCTTGTATGGGAGACTATAAGGTCGTATAAGCCTGTAAGAATGCGGAGGGGTCTATAAGGCTCGAAATGCCCCTATTTCTACATGTAAGTAGTTACGGAACTTATAGCACTTATAAGTGCTTAAGGCATTTATTGAGGCTTATAAGTAATCTGCGGTGGCGGCCAAAAGAAAAAAAATTGCCCGCCCCCCCTCCGCCGCCACCCTCAGCTGCTTATGAAGCAATCGAGAAGAAGAACAACATTGAATTGCAAAAAATGTAAGGTACATGGATAAGAGGTACAAAATGGACCGAGCGAGCACCGATGGCACATCGAATGCGCGAATGAGTACTGTGGTTGTGATGGTTAAAAAGGAATCCAGGCAGCTTGGACGAGGTACCTAACGATCCTGCGACGAAATCCTTTAACGCAGACCTGCAAAGGAATCAGTAGGTTGATGATTAGGAAAGCGAACACTAACTCGAAGTTACGAGGACAGCCGAATAGCGGACTACGAGGATAGTTAGAGGAGAGTAGGCCAAAGAGGTAACACGACACACCGAGCGCTCATAAAAGGAGGGGAGTCGAGGTCGTGTCAATGGCGGTCTGGAAGCGGAGGGGCCGGCAGCGGGGCGGGCAGCGGTCATCGGTGGCGGGTGGGCATGGGGAGCGGGGCGAAGGTGGTGGTTGGAGAGAGAGAGAGGTGGTGTCACGGTGTCACGGTGCTGCAGAATATATACGCAAATGACATCATTTACTCCACTCACTCCACTGCTGCCGTGCCGCACGCTCCCCCGCAACTCGAGCACATTCACCAGCAACCCAATGCCTCCAAATCTTCACCGCGTAGACTCCGATACGACACACGTCTCCGATTCCGAACCCGAGTGCGAAGCTCGCCGTCGCGCACGCCACAATTCCCACTCGTCGACTGCCTCCTCCGCACCCAACTCGCCTCCGCCCCAACGTATAACATTCTCGGTTGTCTCGAACACTTTGCCGGTCGCTGAACCTGCGGAACGGCGTGCTCTCGACTGCCACCTCTCGGCCATGGAAGGAGATCTTGCGGAGATCAAAGTCGCGCTTGCAGCGCTGAGGTCCCAAAGACTAAAGTGCGTTCAACTTATCGGTCTCATTATGGGGCGTCCATTAGCATGTTTTTAGAGCACAACAGAACATCTTCAGGCTTCGAAAGTGGCTCGAGATAGCTGCACTATCAAGTTCATATTGCCTCGGTATCTTATATGTGGTGCTCACTTGGTTAATTGTTTCGGGTGCACAAAGTCGGATCACACATTTTATCTGGATGATGTAGCAGACTTCGACTGGTTATTATGAGCTGGAAATTAATATCCAACTATGTCCGCAAGCTTTGCAGTTTTAGTGCCGTACGCGCCTGCTGTCACAATGACATAACCCAAAACGGTCGCAAAGACAAGTTGAAATACCGATCCAGGGGAGGTTTCGGGGGAGTGAAGATATAGCACAGCTGGTTTTAAACCATCAGATACATCTCTTAACAGAGCCAATACCATAGCGGACTGAAACTGACTTCGCCATGAGTATTTAAGAGTAGCTAGTGGGCATCAACCAACGACTTCACCTTCTGAACCAAACAAAGCCAACACTGAGCTTCGACGGGCGACGCAAGGTCCTAGTGACGACTTATAACATAGGCGGTTACAGGCAGCTATGCCCGGGTTGCAAGTTGGCTATAAGTACTTATAAGAGGCCTATAACTCTGTAAGCCTGCCTAACCCCTTATAACCCAAAAGCGATTTTTGCGACATACGGGTTGAGATGTATCTAGACCCCCTCTGTTTGTCCTCTTCCGCCTCCTGTTCAACCTCCTTCCTCACTGCAGTCCGAGTCCAACGATCATTCCATCTGATCACTCGAAGCTCACGAGCGTGGCCTCGTCATCGTCTTTGCCTCGCGAGTGTGGTGTCGTTGGAATAGGGGGTCGGCGGCCACCGCACTGGGCCGAGATTGGGCGAGTGGATTTCAGCTTTGGAGGAGATGGTGTTGTGGGCTTAGAGTTCGATGTGGAAGCCTGAGACCGGGCAGCCAGCTGCGCCTGGAAGACGGGGCGAGTGGCCTTCGCCTTGCCAGTGGGAAACTGGAAAGGTAATTTGTTGAACTGTTGTGTACCTCCCATATATGAACTGCTGGAAGGGGGGTGGCGTCTTGGGAACGGGAAGGTGAGCCCGAGCAGCTTGAGCAGCCCGCTGCGCCTGGGAGACCGGACGCGTGGATTGCGACTTGGCAGACGTCAGGAACGTTAAGCCGTTGGCCCGCTGTGCACCTCCCCTATTTGAGCTGCTTGCCGGGGGTCGATCCTCGGGGACAACAGCGGGGAGCTGAGCCCGAGCAGCCTGAGCAGCCGGCAGCGCCTGGGTGAGGGGGCGAGTGGACCTTGGCTCTGAATCCCTAGGCCGCGAGGAAGTGGTGCTGACGAAATCTGGATACGGCATATATGAGCTGCTGAGGATAGTGCTGTCTGTTTCTTCGTTCGAGGTCAGTGCCTGAAAGTGAATCGTGGAAGCTTGACGCTTTTATAGCTCCGAGGGATATGCCAGTAACGCCACAGGTGGTCCCCCAAATCATTGATTGGGGTCATTGGAGTCAAGGCTACTATCGATCGCGGTCTTCTGCAGCAGAATTTTGATGGCACTGTGATGGACTTCGCACACATTCATTTTTTAACTATAAAGCTTCGGGCTGTGCGAGAAGGACTTATAGCATGTGAATACGAGTAGTCCGGAGTGCCTTAATTTTTGAAGCGCAATTGAGGTCGGGGGAAGTTCCCGAGGCGAGATGGGCTTATGCAAGATCTTTTACATCCGAATTTGGCGGGCCATCAAAATCCGACTGTTGATTTTTCACAGAGCTCAAAACTCGGCCATTAATAATATCGAAAGAAGAGCGCATATCTACATCCTTTTGGGTGCCTGAACCCTTTCCCCGAGGCCATTGGGCTAGAAATGAGACCGGAAAAGTGAAATCTTACATAAGACCATCTGATCGCACAAGACCGCGATCGATAGTATGTAAAATTGAGTGGTGGAGGCACTGCGGCACTGCATTGTGG